TACTCTCAGCACTCCCTCGAAATGGAATTTCTGTCTCACGTGAAGCGTCAGACGAGGGGGAAATTCCCCTCCCACCCATGACAGCCCTGGCCATCTGTGGCATCCCCAACCTCCCCCGTGGGGCTGAGCCCCCCTTGCATCCCCCCTGTCCCAGGGCTCCTGTACCTCCTCCATGGGGTCCAGCCATGGTTCCTGTGCTCCAGGGCTCCCTGCACACCCCAGGGCTGTGTGATTCCTTAGCTATGACCCTCAGTGTGATGGGGGAAAGAGAGGGAGGGGGGCTGGAGCCCGTGGCTCCCAGGGGCTTTGGGGTAGTGGACAGTGGGATGGGGGACAGTGCTGTGGGGGACAGGCTTGGCCCCTGGGCTGCCCCCTTTGTGGAGGGCTGAACTCTGCTGGCACAGAAGCAGCAAGCTGGAGTGTGGAGTGCTGGCAGCATCCCCGTGCTCTGCCCCTGCTTGTTGGAGGCAGTGCTGGGGGGCAGGATGAGGCCCCTCCAGTGCCAGGGCAGGTCAGGCAGCGCCTCTGCCGCCCCAACTGCCTCCCCTTCATGTGGTTTCCTCCTCCCTGGTGCAGTTGTGAGTGAGGGGGTGCAGCACCCGCTGAATTCTGCGTGCCCAGGGGAGCGGGGGCCACCTGCAGCTTCAGGATCTGCCGTCGGGCAGAGCCGTTGGCCGCTCCTCAGGAGCCCCTCGTGCACCCCAGCACTGCTGGGGGCTCCTGCCCACGGGGTCCCCCACGTCTGCTGGGGCCCCTGTGGCTCCTCTTGTTCTGTGATCCCCCCCTGTGCCCCAGGGCACAGCCCTGCCCAGGCCACGGGGCAGCTCTGGGCCTCACCTGGGGGGCTCTGCCCAAGGAGCCGGGGGGCAGAGAGAGCCCCCCAGGGCTGTGTGGGGCCAGGGCAGAGCTTCCCTGGGATGGGGATGGAGATGGGGATGGCTGCTCTGGCATCTCCATCGTCAGCAGGGCTGAGGGGTCCTGGCAGGGACAGGGCACTGACCCAGCTCTGGGTCTCTTCCAGGAGCGCAAGTCGTACAAGTGGAAGCAGCTGCTCTTCTTCTTCACCTTCATCACGTTCGCGTTCGCCGTGTGCGTGTATTTCCACCACAACTGGTACTGCGGGCCTGGAGGTGAGGGGACGGGCAGGGGCCCTGTGTGCAGAGAGGGACTGGGGATCATGGGATCACTGAGGCTGGAAAAGCCCTCCCAGCCCATGGATCCCCCTGTGCCCCATCCCCACCTTGTCCCCCAGCCCAGAGCACTGAGTGCCACGGCCAGGCCTGCCTTGGACACCTCCAGGGCTGGGCACTCCAAACCTCCCTGGGCAGCCCCTGCCAATGTTTAATCACCCTTTCAGTGAAGAAGTTCCTCCTCATGTCCAAAAATTCAGTCACAGAATCAACTGAGATCATCAAGTCCAACCTATGCCTGATCACCACCATGTCAGCAAGGCCGTGGCACTAGTGCTCCTAATTCCTCACACTGCTTCCTGATGTCCGTGCCCTCCTAATGTGATGCCTCGCTTTCCAAATCCCAGCCTAGGGGGGGCTCCTCTGGGAGGGCTGGTGTCTGTCTGCCCTTCTCCTCCCATGGGGGCCGAGCCCCCCAGCTCGAGCCCTCCTGTCCCAGGGAGGTGCCCCAAGCCCCCCAAGCTCTGGGGGCAGACCCAGCTGGTGTTGCCCTCACTGCTGTGTTCCCTCCTGCAGTGTACACCGTCTTCGCCTTCCTGGAGTACCTGGTTGTCCTGTCCAACATGGCCTTCCACATGACTGCCTTCTGGGACTTCGGCAACAAGGAGCTGGTGGTGAGCTCGCTGCTGGAGGACAAGCACTTCTAGCCAGCCCTGCTGCTGGGGGCTGCTCTTCCTGGGGGAGGCAGAGAGCCCCTTCCCTCTCCTGCTGGGGCAGGGTGTTTGCTGTGGAGCTGCTGCAAGGATCCTCCCGGGATCCTGGGCCCCCCGAGTGTCTGTGCATGGTCCCTGGCTGTGCCTGCAGCCCTCATACAGGGGAGCTGGGGCTCTTGCCAGGGCCCCCCTGCTCTGGCTCCCTGCCAGCTGTGGGAGGGCAGGACAGAGCAGGGACAGGGACCTGCTGCCTGTTTCTTTGGATGGTGCTCCAGGAAGAGCAGGATTCTGCTCCTGGCATTGGGGCACGGGGGGCCAGCCCTGCCCTGCTTGGCCTGGGGGGTCTCATGGTTCCTCCCCCAGGCTGGGGGTCTGGGGACAAGAACTCAGAAAGGGCTGGTGGCCTTTTGGGCTGGCTCTGGGCACTGCTCTCCCATTGGACTGGGGCAGGATCCCAGCCCATCCATGCCTGAGTTCCCAGGAAGGGAGCGGGAAGGTGCCGGCCCCTGAATGGACTGCATGGAGCGGGACAGGAGCACCAGGGGCACAACAGCTGTGGGAGCATCCTCACTCTCCTTCCTGCCTTTCCCAGAAACCCCCCAGCAGCTCAGGCTGCTCCCAGGGGGCTGTGCCCCAGTTCCAGCCCAGTGTGGGGAGGAAGGGCAGGGGGCCTGGCGCTGGAGGTCCCTGCTCTGATATCCACATGGATTCCCCTGTGCTGTGGGGCTGGAGCTGGGAGCTGCTGGGGTCCAGCAGTGCCCCCCCTGTGTGGGCTCTGGCTGCAAGGTCACCGTGGGCACGGCTGGGTGGGAGCTGGGGGCTGGCAGCATCCCCAGGCTCCTCCTGGCAGCGCTGCTGGAAGGGGCTCCTGGAGCTGACGTGTTTTCGGGGAGCTCTGCTCTTGTCAGGGCTCATCCCACCCCACACCCAGCCGGGAAGGACCCTCCCTGCCCTTCCCCACCGAGAGTCCCCCGGGATGTCCCGGTGCTCATCCCTGTGCTCCCAGGGCTGGGCAGAGCCTCCTGCAGTGGGAGCTGCAGGCCCTGGCTGAGCCGGGGCCGGGCTGGCTCCGGGGTGCTGCTGTGTGTCCGTCATCGGTGTCCCCAAGGGCCCCATCCATGGGCCCCATCCGTGTCCCTGCATGTGTGTGATGTGCTGCCCCCGCAGCGCCCTGGCTTGGGGTGGAAATAAAGCACTGAGTATTTTTGTGAGCTCTCGGCAAACTCCACATCCACACCACTCCCAGCGGCATGGCCAGTGCATCCCAGCCCGTCCCAGGACCCCAAGCCAGGGTGGGAACTGGAGTGGGATGCGGGACATGGACCCTGGGAACTGAGACTGGGATGTGGGATGTGGATCCCAGGTGTTGAAGCTGGGGTGTAGGATGTAGATCCCTGGGGTCAGGGCTGGGATGTGGGATGTGGATCCTGGGTGTCGAAGCTGGAATGGGAATCCTGGATGCAGGATGTGATCGCTGGGGTGTGGGACATGGCTCCGGGGTGCTGGATGAAGCCAGGGAAAGCTCAGCCAGGCTGGGAGCCAGCCAGGATCTGGGCTGGAGGCGTGGGACTGCCGGACCGAGCCCACCCCGCAGCTGGCGGCCCGTTCCCCACCCAGCCCCGGGGGCCGCTGGCTTGGCTGCGGACCCTGCAGATCCCATGGATGCTGCATTCCAAGGGCCGGCTCAGCCCCGGGACGGGACCTGCAGCCAGGAGGGCTGGGACGGCACTGCCGGGGCCGGGGCTGGGCAGGGGCAGGGAAGCTGCCGGGGGCTCCATTCCTCCTGCCGGGGCCAGGGGGGCCGTGGTGGGGCCCTGACCTCGCTGGGGCCGGCCCGGGAGCAGCTGGGAGGGGACCAGCCATGAGCTCATCCCTCTGCCGGGGCCGGGGCAGGGCTGTGTCCCGCTCGCGGCATCCCAGGGTCCCCGCGTCGTCCCTGCAGCCGCTTCTCCCCTGGAACCCCCCGGGGTGGCATCTCGGAGAGCAGGACGTGGCCCTGGGGACACCCCACCGTGGGAGCAGGACGTGGCTCTGGGGACACCCCACCGTGGGAGCAGGACGTGGCTCTGGGGACACCCCACCGTGGGAGCAGGACGTGGCTCTGGGGACACCCCACCGTGGGAGCAGGACGTGGCTCTGGGGACACCCCACCGTGGGAGCAGGACGTGGCTGTGGGGTCCCCGCGGCGGGAGCGGGACATTTCTTTGGATCCCCGATGGATTTGGTCCACCGGGACCCACCAGCCCGGTGTTGTGCAGCCCCCCGGGCCGGGCTGGGGCTGTGTCCCCTCGCCGCGGGCTCCCAGGGTGGGGGCCGGAGGGAGCGGGCTTTGCCCGGCCCCGGGGGCTGCCCCAGGCAGGGCCGTGGAGGAGCCCCCCGCCCGCGGCTCCATCGCCCACGCCGGCCCGGCAGCCGCGGCTCCGGCCGGGAAGCAGGGAACAAAGGCGGCTTGTGGCGGGCGCCGGGTCTCTGCCCTTCCTGCAGGAAGGCCCCGGGGCCGGACAAGGGGCCCGTGTCCCGGCACTGGGGCCCTGCCAGGCCCCCCGGGTCCGCCAGCACGTGCCGGGGGGGCTGCGAGGGGGCGAGAGCGGCCGGGGATGCCACCGGACCCTGCTGCCACCACCACCCTGCTGCCACCACCACCCTGCTGCCACCACCACCCTGCTGCCACCACCACCCTGCTGCCACCACCGTCAGCCACAGGAGCCGGGGACCCCCAGGGCAGCCCTGGGCGTGGGGACACGGGGCTCTGCCCTCACCTGCCGCTCCGGAGGCAGCGCCAGGGCTGGGGTGGCCCAGGGCTCCCAGGGAGGGGACCCTGCTCGTGTGCCCACCCCTGCAGCGTCCCCATCCCATGTCCCCATTCCCACCCAGTGCAATGGCCCCCTGGCCGCCTCCTGCAGTGTCCCATTCCTGTCCCTTGCAATGTCCCCAGGCCTCCCGGGGGGGCTCAGCTGGGCACAGGGAAGGAGGAGGTCAGGCCTGGCCACAGCAGGGACACCCCAAGCCCCCCTGGCTATGGTTCCCTGCAGGCAGAGACCCCCAGCAGGAACCAGGAGCACCCTCAGCTTGGCCTGGCAGAGTGAGGGATCCCGCCCAGCTCGGGACACTCCCCCAGGGAGCATCCTCATGCCTGGGAAAGGTGGAGAGCACAAGACACAGTGGAAACGAAACGGGCAGGTCTTTATTTGAGAAGCAGCTCGGGGACAGCTGGTTACAGGAGTCCCACTGCCCTGGCGCTCCGGCACAGGAATTCCCTGCTCTGGCTGTGCCAGCTCCGCTCGCCGCAGGGCCGGACATCCCCAGCACAGGGGTCACCCCACACCCCCCAGGAGCCCCTGGCATTGCCCCTGCAGCAGGACAGGGCCATGCCAGGGCTGTGCCAGTGAGATGCTCCGGGATGGGCGGGCGCTGGGGCTGGCACAGAGGGCCCAGGGGCCCCGCTCGCCCCGGCTGGTGCAGGGGTGGGGATGGCAGGTCCCTGTGGGGTGCTCAGGGCAGGAGCAGGTTGGGCCACCCCGGGCACCCCCTCCTAAGGAAGCATCGCTGTGCCAGGGCCGGAGAGGCATCACCCAAAGGAACGCTGACAGCCAAGGCGGGGGGCCGGCAGGGCTGGGGGGCCCTGAGGGCTGGGGGAGCCCCGGTGCCCCCGGGGCAGGTGGCCAGTTAGTGCAAACAAGGTCTGTATTATTAAAGCTGGCGGCTTTGGGCTGGCGGCCCCGGTCCCACCGAGGAGCGCTGGGGCGGGCGGGGGGCACGTGGTGTTCTTGGGGAACGGCGGGGCCGGGGCGGGGCAGGATCGTCTCTCGCTTGCCCTGTCACAAGAGCACACAGGGCTTCTTGGGCTTGGCCGGGGCAGGGTTGAGCACGGCCCGCACGGCCTCGGTGAACACATCCTTGATGCCCTCCTGGTTGAGCGCCGAGCACTCCAGGTACTTGACGGCACGGATCTGCTTGGAGAGGCTGATGCCCTGCTGGGTGGTGATGGGCGCCTGGTTCTGCTCCTTGAGCCGCTTCATGGTCTCGGGGTTGTTCCTCAGATCCTTCTTGGTGCCCACGAGCAGGATGGGCACGCTGGGGCAGTGGTGGCACACCTCGGGGTACCACTTGTGCTTGACGTTCTCGTAGGAGGGCGGGCTGGCGATGGAGAAGCAGATGATGAAGACGTTGGTCTGGGGGTAGGAAAGCGTCCGCAGGCGGTCGTACTCCTCCTGGCCGGCCGTGTCCCACAGGTTTAAGTTTATAGTCCTGCCGTCCACCGTGTTCTGGGCGCTGTAGTTGTCGAACACGGTGGGGATGTACTCCTTGGGGAAGGCGTTGGTGGTGTAGCAGATGAGCAGGCAGGTCTTCCCCACCGCCCCATCACCCACCACCACGCACTTGATGCTCTGCATCCCGGCGTCCCTCGCGTCCCCTCAGCAGGCTGTGGAGAGGGAGAGGGTCAGGGCTGGCTGAGGCTGAGTCACCCCCTGCTCGGACACCCCGGGGCCAGAGGGTGCAGGGGGATCACAGTCCACTCACCCTTGGTTCCCCTTGCAACCCACAGAGAGCACCCAGTGGGGACCCACCTGCCCTGACCCATGGACAAGACCTGTGCCTCCATGGCTGGCATGCACGGGGACCACAGTGACCCCAGGGTGATGTGTCCATGCCAGCCAGGCCATGGCAGCATCCTTTGCCATGCCATGCCATGCCCTGGAACAGGACAGGGAGCAGGGGCAGGGCTGGGCTGTGGCAGCGTGTGGGACATCACCAATCCTGCCCACACTGAGCGGGGCCAGGGCCGGTCCTGGCGGGGCAGAGGCCGGGCTGGTGCCAAGCCCCGGGGCCAACATCCGCTCCGGCAGCTGTGTTTATCCCGGTCCCGGCGCTTCCCTTCCTCAGGTTCCCTCTGCAATTCCCATTAAGGGCCGCATCCTGCTCCCCTTCCTGCTGCTGAGCCCAGCCCAGCTGAGCTGGGGGCACCACACGGAGCCAGGCAGGAGGGTGCCCACCCCCTGGGGCGGGTAGCCCCTTTCCCTCTGGGATCTGGCCACGGGCAGCTGGTGCCCACTGGAGGGATCCCAGTGGGAAGGTGGGAGCCCCGGCTCGTGTGGCACCACGATGGGAGGGAGCAGAGGTGCCAGGGCGGAGAAGCCCCAGTCCCAGAGCCCCGGGCCGGGGGTTCCCCTTCCCCAGAGTCCCCAGGGCTGCAGGGCCAGAAAGGGGGGATGGGGCTGAGCCCCTGCCCCAGCCCTGCCGGCCCCAGCCCCCTCGGATGGGGAAGTCGCTCTTCCTCTTCCCGCCCTGACACGCGGCTTCCTGCGCGAGCTGTGCCGTGACCCCCGCCCTGCCTGGCCCCACTGGGCCTCAGTGTGCCCCTGCAAACCCACTGCCACGGCAGGGGACCCCAGACCCTCAGCAGGGGAACGGGGAGCAGCAGGGCTGGCACAGGATCCCCACCCCCAGCAGGAAGCCGCTCGTCCAGAGCAGGATCCCGGGGGTCACAAACAACCCCCGGCATTCTGCTCTGGGAGAAAACTCAGCCTGGAGGTTTCCTCACACTGGTTTGCACCAGTGCAGAGTCCCAGGGCCTGGGGGGCTCAGCCTGGGGCAGTCCAAGGTCACACACATTCCCAGTACCCACGGGCACCCCAAGGTCACCAGCGTCCCCACAGGCGCCCTGAGGTCCCTGTAACTCTGCCTGCTGGGCAGCCATCCCACAACACACACACTCGGTGGGGCTCAGCTGAGTTTCCCCACTGTCCCCCAGTCTGGGCTGCCAGAAAGGGCTGGTTGTGGGTGGGGCATTGGGAATCCCCTGGACTGGGGCAGCGGTTCCTGGGAGCCAGCAAGGGTCACCCAGCTGAGGTGGGAGTGGGAGGGGTCCCCGAGCAGCCCCAGACACCAGGGCAGGGAGGGTGGGGGCAGCTGAGCAGGAGCCCCCAGGGGGGAAACAGGTAAGTCACTGTGGCCAGAAATGGGGGTGGGGGGCAGTTTGCCTGGGGCACAAGGAAAGGGACAAAGCAGTGCCCCCCTGCCCACAGCTCCCCATCCCTCGGGGAGCAGAGTGACCCCCGAGCACCAGCTCTGGCCTAGTGACAATCCCACTGAGGGACATGGCAAACACTGGTTACCCTGAACCCAAACCCTGCACCCCCAAACCAGCCACTGGCACCCTGGGATGAGCTGGCACCATCCCCATCCCAGGAAAGGCCCAGGCTGAGTCAGCGGGGCTGAGGAAGGGGATGGGGCACATGAGGAAACGCTCGTGCCCATGAGAGCATCCTGTGGGGAAAGGGAGAGGAGGGGGGAGGAGGAGGAGGAAGGGACAGTGGGCAGGGGGCCATTTCTCCATCACCCAGCACCTCTGGGGCCGTGGAACCCCAGAGTGGCCCCAGGTTTGTACCAGCACCCAGCAAACGTGGGCACACATGGTGCTCGTGAAGGGGCAGTGGTGGGACCCTGGCGCTCACACGGGAAGGTTCTGGCACTGCCAGTGGCACGAGGTGCCAGTGGCACGAGGAGGGACCTGCAGGCACGGCTGTGCTGCCCACACTCACAGGGCAAATATGAGTGTGCCCCCCCCAGCCCTCCACCCCAGCCCCCCTGCTGCAAGCTCCACTCCCAGCACAAGGCCAGCTCTGTTCTCCCAGGACATCCACAGCCAGCAGCACCTTTAACCCCTTCTGCCCCCCAGGAATGCCGGGTGCAGGAGGCCTCGTGGGGCTGAGGGGCACAGCCCATGGGGGGCACAGCCCAAGGGGGCACCTGCCCCTTCCCCACCCCACGGGAGGGGACCCAGAAGAGGAAGAGTGGGAGCAAGGAGGGGGCTCAGCACCCTGACCCCAGCGGGACCGTGGCCACTCCCCACGCTCAGACCTGGATGCTGGAGAGAGGCTGTGGGTGATGCACAGCGATCCCCCCTCCACTCTCCCTGTCCCCGGGACGGGAAAAGCGACTCATCTCTTCTTCAGCAGAAAGGGGAAGCAAAACCCTCTGTCTGTGCTCCCAGCCGGGGCAGCCCCCGGGGGTTTCCACCAGGGGAGCAGAGCAGCTGCTCCTGTGGGGTCCCCTCCCACTGCCAGCGCCGTCCCACGGCCCCCAAACCTGACCCCCCCTCCCCAGACCGACCCTTCACCCCCAGGCACCCCCTGCCCCACAGCCCCTGCACACCCCCCACCACAGAGCCCACGCTGTGCCCCACTTGGGGCCCCTGGGCCCCACCCTGTGCCCCCTCCCTCCCCAGACACCCTCCCTGGCCGGCGGGTCCATCGCAGACAGACGGACGTGCCCAGGCCCACCCAGGGCCGGGGGTCACCACCCTGGTCCTGGGGTCCCTGCTGCCCCCCCCGGAGCGGCACAGCACAGCCCCCCGGCACTGCTGCTGCTTCATCAGCACAAAGAGGGAATTAATGAGATTACTAAAAGCTCTAAATCCCAGGCAGGGACTCCCTGCGGGTCCCTGGCCACGAGGGGACCACCGAGGGCCCCCCCAGCCGTGCCGTCGCCCTGCCGTGGTGACTAAAATAACTTCCCTGCTGAGTCGCAGGGTTTTGATTTCCCTCATTTTCCAGCTGTCGTGACTAATTTCCTCATTTTATTTCCCTCCCAGGCTGGGCCCTGCTCTGTCCCTCGCTCTCTGCCCGGGTCACTGCCAAAGATCTACGGCTCTGGGACTGGAGCTGCAGCCAGACCCCACAGGGGGAGGTGGGGCCCTGCAGGGTCCCCAGCACAGCCACTGCTCCCAGCTGGCAGCGGGGGCATCCTGGGATGGATGGATGGATGGATGGATGGACGGGTGGATGGATGGATGGATGGATGGATGGATGGGGTGGGTAGGTGGATGAGGTGGATGGATGGATGGATGGAATCATGGGGTGGATGGATGGATGGATGGATGGATGGATGGGGTGGATGGATGGATGGGGGGATGGATGGATGGGGTGGATGGATGGATGGATGGATGGATGGATGGATGGATGGATGGATGGGGTGGATGGATGGATGGATGGGTGGGTAGGTGGATGGAAGGATGGGTGGATAGATGGATGGATGGATGGATGGATGGATGGATGGATGGATGGAAGAATGGGGTGGATGGATGGATGGATGGATGTGGTAGATGGATAGATGGGGTGGATGGATGGATGTGGTGGATGGATGGATGGATGGATGGATGTGGTGGATGGATGGATGGATGGATGGATGTGGTAGATGGATAGATGGGGTGGATGGATGGATGTGGTGGATGGATGGATGGATGGATGGAATCATGGGGTGGATGGATGGATGGATGGATGGGTGGGTAGATGGATGGATGGATGGTGGATGGAAGGATGGGGTGGATGGATGGATGGATGTGGTGGATGGATGGATGGATGGATGGATGGATGTGGTAGATGGATAGATGGGGTGGATGGATGGATGGATGTGGTGGATGGATGGATGGATGGATGGATGGATGGATGTGGTGGATGGATGTGGTGGATGGAAGGATGGGGTGGATGGATGGATGGATGGATGGATGGATGGATGGATGGATGGATGGATGGGTCCAGCCAGGCCAGGCTCCCTGGCCTCAGGCTGAGAGACTGGCACTGCTCCCAGGGCTGGTGGAGCTGCAGGCGGGGCCTGGAGCTGGGCAGGCAGCACTGGCACCAGCACCAGGACCAGCACCACACCTCTCCATGGCACAGCCAAACCCCACACAGGGCACAGCCCACACCTGCCTCCTGGCACCACCAGGACTATCTGTGGATGCTCCGGGCACTCCACGGTCCCAGTGCCTCCCATCTCCCCCAGGGCTCTTGGGGTGCCACGGGTGTCCCTGCTCTGACTGTCACAGGGCTGTGGCACTGACTCAGTGCCTGCTGGGGGGGACCACGGAGACCCCCGGGGTGGCCCTGGGGTGGCCCCACAATGAGCACCCACTGCAGGGGGGTGCACCCACCCCATCTCCCCAGGGACAGCCCCGGCTGGGCTGTGGGTGCTGCACACGTGGGACAGCGGAGCAGGTGACATGGGAGTGGTGCTGCAGTGTCTGTGTGTGTTTGTTTGACGTGTGTGTGTGGCGTGTGTCTGCATGCGTGTGATGTGTGAGCCTGTGTGTGATGTGTGAGTCTGTGTGTGTGTGTGTGACGTGTCTCAGTGTGTGTGTGTCTGTGTGTGTGTGACATGTCTGTGTGTGTGTGTGTGATGTGTGAGTCTGTGTGTGTGTGTGACGTGTCTCTGTGTGTGAGTGACGTTTCTGCAGGGCAGTGAGCAGGGGCTCAGGGGGGTCACAGCAGAGGGGTCAGTACAGGGGGTTCCGTGGGCCGTGCAGTGCCCTCGCTGTGCAGCACAGCCCCTGCAGAGCCAGCCCGGGGGTGCGGCTGCAGGGCCGGGGGGTGCAGGACCGAGGGGTGCAGGGGGTGCAGTGGCCCCGCAGAGGGGATTGGGCCGGGCCGGTTCCATCCCCGCTCTGTCCCAGCGACTGCCGGTCCCACTGCCGCCTGAAACTGCTCCTCCGACACCCAGACCCCGTTAACCTTCGTTAACCCCGGAGCCTCGTTAACCCCGCATCCCGTTAACCCCGGACCCTTTTTAACCCCGGACCCTCTCTATCCCCGGGCCCCCGTTCCCGTCGGACCCTCGCTATGCCCGGCAGCCCCGTTATCGCCGGACTCCCGGTAGCCTCGGTAGTCCCGTTATCCCCGGCATTCCCGTTATCCCGGACCCCCGTTAGCCCCGATGTCCTCCGCAGTCCCGATATCCCTGGCACTCCCGTTATCCCCGTTATCCCTCTCCGGGCGGTCCCGCTGTCGCCGTCCCCGCCCTGGCCCCGACGGGCGGCTCCTCCCGCCGCCCCGACCCGGCCCCGGGACCCCTCGGGACCCCTCCGGACCCCGGCCCTGGGACCCCCGGCCCTCCCGGAGCCTCCGAGCCCCGGCCCCGCACTCACCCCGGGGCATGGCGCGGCGGCGGCAGGGCCGGGGCAGCGGCGGGAGGAGGAGGGCGAGGACGAGCAGGACGAGGATGAAGAGGAGGAGGAGGAGGAAGTCTGCGGCCGCCTCCTCCCGCCGCCCCGGGCGGTCCCGCGGAGAAACTTCCCGCCGCGCCCGCCCCCGCCCGCCGCTTCCTTCCTCAGGGTCCCGGGAGCGCAGCCCCGCACCCGCCCCCCGCGGGGCTGCCCGGGCTGCGGGGACCGGGACGGGGCTGCGGGGACCGGGACGGGGCTGCGGGCAGAGGCTGCCGAGGGTTCCGGGCAGGACCCCCGTGCGGGACCCCCGCACCCCACGGGACCACCCCGAGCAGGGACCTGCAGCCCCCGGGGCCGGGCTGGGAGCAGAGACCCTCGCCCGCCTGCCTGGCCCCCACCCCTGGCACCCACCCATGACCCCACTTACGACACACCCCACCGGGGGCTCCCTGGGGACCTAGGGGGGTGAAACCCCTCACCCTCGGGCTGCCTCGGGGTCGGGGTGAGGATGGGGTGGGGACCAGATGCCCTGGGGGCGCCTGGAGTCACCCTGATGCACCCCAAGGGGAACGGGGGGTCCCACGGCTGCTGTGGAGGCAGATCCCCCTGAGCAGAGCCTTCTCCTCCTGGGCCAGGGCCAGAGGAGCCTCTCCTCTGAGAGCCCCCACAAGGGCCGAGAACCCCAAGCTGGGGGTCCCCATAAGGGCCAGGACCCCCTGCCCCCAAGGAGCCCACAGCCCATGGGGGTCCCTGGGGCAGGAGGGGCTCGTGGGGGTCACCCGGGGCTGGAGGCAGTTCCCTGGGGAGTGAGTGGCCTGTCCCCATCCTCATCCCGAGGTCTGCAGGTGTGGGACCCCCTGCTCTGTCCCCCACACTGGTACAGGGGACCAGGACTGGGACCCAGCTGGGAACCATCAGCCTGGAGATCCCCAGCCCCTGTTCCAGTCTGGGCACTGCCGTGGATCTACGAGGTGCCCACCCTGCAGCCTGGGACCCCCATCCTGCATCCTGGGGCACCTGGCTGAGGACGGGCACTCCCTCTGGGAACAAGGGTGACACTTCCCGGAGCAGCCAGGCCAGGGTGGGGCAGGGTGCGACCTTCCCGTGCCCCCCACGGGCTGGTGGGCTCCGGGCACTGGTGGCACCGGTATAGCAATGGCACCAGGAGCGGGAGGCCCTGGAGGTGTCACAGCTCTCAGGAGGTGCCAAAGTGTCCCCGGCACCACTGCGAGTGAGAAACCGCGTGGCTGGGCGTCAGAACAGCTCTGCCCAGTGACACGGGGTGCTCTGAGGGGTTGGGGTGATCTGACAACCTGGGTGCTGTGACACGTTGAGGTGCTCTGAGGCGCTGGGGTGCTGGGATGTGTTGGGGTGCCGGGATGTGTTGGGGTGCCCTGACGAGCCCAGGGCGCTGGGATAAGGGGGGTGCTGTGACAGTCCGTGGAGCCGTGGCGCTCCCCCCGGTCTCGATGAGGATCAGGGTCACCCATCCAGGCTCCGCCCGGGCCCGACCCTGCTGAGCTTCCCCGCCCTGTGTGGCTGCTCCGCACCCCCCTGTGGCCGCCAGGGGGCGCTGCGCCCCAGGGCGCGCGCGGGTGGGCGGCAGCAGGGGCGTGGTCACGTGCCCGCCCCCTGTTGGCCCCGCCCCTCGATGGGCGTGACCAGACGTGCTCCCGCCCCCTGTGGGCGCGCGCGCGGCGGTGCCGGGGCCCGGTGCGCATCGCGACGGGCGAAACCACCGCGAGCGGCGCGGGGGGGGGCGGGTTGTCTCAGCCCACACGCAGCGGGGATTCCGAGCGGTGCCGCTGCGAGAAGGCTGAGGGTGGACGGAGAGAGCCGGGGGGAGGTTCAGGGAGAGAGGGGAGCGGGGCTGTCCCGGCAGAGGGGCGGGTGGCGAACGAGGTTATCCCGGGAAGAGCCCGCTGCGTGCGGGGCGATTGGGGCTGTCCCGGGAGGTACCACTGCGGCGGGGGGGCTGTGGTGGGAGAGCCCACTGAGGGCGGGGGGGCCGTTCCGGTGCCCGATCGCGGCGGAGCTCGGCGGTGCCGGGATAGCGGGACAGTCGGGACAGCGGGGACAGCGGGACCGCCCGGACCCCCGGCCCGGGCCCATGCCGAGCAGCAGCTGACGGCGGCGGGCACGCGGAAATGGAGCGGCGGCCGGGCCGGGCCGTGCGGGCGCTGTGCGGCCTCTCCCTCGTCCTGCTGCTGCTGCCGCCGCATCCCGGGAGCGCCGAGCGGGCCCCCGGAGCGCACCTGGACGACACGGCCATCGCAGGTGAGACCCGCCGGGACACCCCGGCACGGCACGGCACGGCCCCGCTTTGGGGCCGTTCCGCGGGGGTTTGGGCAAAACGTGCGCGGAGCCCCCGCTGGCCCCGGGCTGGGACCCGCGGGGCTCTGGGACCCGCGGGGCTCTGGGACCCGCGGGGCTCCGGGACCCGCCGGGCTCCGGGACCCGCCGGGCTCTGGGACCCGCGGGGCTCCGGCCCCGGAACGCCCCGTGTTTGCTGTCGCGGCGGCTCCAGCTTTTGGGGCCGAAAGTTTGGCATTCCGGCCCGTGGGGCGTTTCGGGCTCGCCCCGGTGCAGCCGCATCCCCGGAGCGGCCGGCGGGGTTGGGGGCTGTCGGCGCCGTGTGCCCTGTTCGCCCGCCGCGATGAGGGGCTGCGGGGAGCGGGGCCGCTCCGGGACCCCGCGCTTTGGGCGGTGTTTAGGGACGTCCCCAGGTGCGGGACATTCCCGGGGCCGTGTCCGCCCGCTCCGGGGACGGAGCGGTTCCCATCTGAGGAGCGCAGGTGGCAGAGCCCTGGCTCCCCGCTGTTCTGTGTCCCCCTATTCCCATCCCCTCCGCCCCAAAAATCGCCCCCACCCCGGCCCAAAAGGCAGAAGAGCGGAGCCCCTGGGGACTCTGCCCCCTGGAACCGGGGGCACCTCCGTGGGCTCTGTGTCCTTGTGACAGACCCCGAGGTCAGCGCTGGAGCCCGATCCATGAATCCTGCTGGGAACTTTGGGAGCGGGACGGGAGCCCCCGGGGGTCCTGCAGCCCGCTGAGCCGTGTCCCTGCAGGTGAGGGGGCCGGGAAGGGCTCTGCAGAGGGATTCTGGAATGGGATTCAGCTCCCGGGAAGCCAAAACGCTGAGCACCACGTGCTGCTCAGCCCCCGGCAGGCTCCGAGCCCCCAGCGCCCGCATCCCGAGGATCCCACCTGAGCGTTTGGGCAGGAGAAAAGGTGCGGAGCGATTCCAGACCTTCGTTTTGGTGCTGTGTTGGGCCGGGGAGCAGCTCTCCGAGCTGGAGCTCAGGAAAGGATTTCGGGTGTAGGGACAGGTGCTTGGATGTTGGGTGTTTGGATGAAAGACCCCGGGAAGAGTTTGGCTTTGTGAGCAAAACTGGGCGGTGGGAACCGGGCAGGGAGCAGGCCCTGGGGCCGTGGTGTCAGCAGGAGGACCGGGGTCGGTGTGTGATCCCTGGGCAGGGGGATTGTTCTTGGATGGGCTCTGTGACTCCGCTCTCTGTCCCTGTGAGAAGGGGCTCCTTGTCCCCTCTCCGTGTGCTCCGAAATGCTCGGGCCAGTTCACATCCAGTGTGCTCCACTAAGGAAACTGGATCTCTGCAGTCCTTTCTGAAGCAAGGTTTGTGCCTCCAAGGAATTTCCAGCGGAGTTATTTTTGGAGGCCCTGCAGAAGTGTGGCAGCCCGGGTGATTCAGCTGCTGGCCCTGCTTTGGCTGCGAGCGGAGGCAGCGCCAGGCCGGGAGCAGCCCCGGTCCTGGGCTCGGAGCGGCCCCCGGTCCTGGGCTCGGAGCGGCCCCCGGTCCTGGGCTCGGAGCGGCCCCCGGTCCTGGGCTCGGAGCGGCCCCCGGTCCTGGGCTCGGAGCGGCCCCCGGTCCTGGGCTCGAGCGCCCCGGTCCTGGGCTCGGAGCGGCCCCGGTCCTGGGCTCGGAGCGGCCCCGGTCCTGGGCTCGGAGCGGCCCCGGTCCTGGGCTCGGAGCGGCCCCCGGTCCTGGGCTCGGAGCGGCCCCGGTCCTGGGCTCGGAGCGGCCCCCGGTCCTGGGCTCGGAGCGGCCCCCGGTCCTGGGCTCGGAGCGGCCCCGGTGCCGGGCCGGGAGCAGCCCCGGTCCAGGTCTCCAGTACATCCCCCCGGGATGGGCTGTTCCCGCGGGACAGGTGCTTTTGGTCACTCCTGGTTTTCCCAGCCTCGCTCCGGTCGCTGCTGGGTCTGCAAACCTTCAAGGGAGTACCAGGTTTGGAACCCCAAATGCGCAGAGGAGGGGTTTGTGTCCCCTGCGCTGTGTCCCTTCCCGGGGCAGGTCCGAGGGGCTCCCCCCCTCTGCTCCCACAGCTCGCTGTGTCCTCTGGGGTCTCCTGGCCGTTCGCTTTGGAGCTTTCGGAGCTGGGAGCAGGGACTGTCCTCGGCTGGCACAGCAGCCGCTTTCCCCGTGCTTTCCCTGGAAGCAGAACGTGCCGGTCGTGTCGGTCCCGCCGGGCCGACAGGCAGAGGTGGGTGTTGGACGGCGTTTTGAAAGTGAAAGTGCTCGGTTTTGACACATTTTCGGAGGTGCTGGTTTTATTCTTGAACTGGCGTGGCGGGATTGTAATGATAAAATAGCAGCAGCGGCTGCTTTTCCCCGGAACCAGGGAAGCGTTTGTGGAGAGCAGGAGCCCGAGCTCCAGCGCTCCTTGGGCCGCTGAGATCCCCCTGCGGGCTCAGGGGATGCAGCAGCAGGTTTTATGGAGGATTAGGGAGCGATCCCGGTTCCTCAGATACTCTTTTTTAAGCGGGAGTCTGACACGGGAGGTGTTATCCGTGCAGGATAATCAGAGTTGGTGACTGAACCCCGGGGAAAATCAGATTTTTCTCCTGGCTTTGACTCACTCAGAGGCAAATCGAGGGCTTTAATCTTTCATCTCTAATCTTTTCCTGCCGAGATCAGATTGAAGCTTGGTTCCACTCGGCGGCACAGGAGCCATTTCACAAGGCAGAGACGCTGAGACAGAGGAGGAGAGGGGGGTTGGAACCAAGAGCAGCCAAAAGGGCCCTCTCCCAACAGCCAGGCTTTGCCCCACTCCCAGGTTTGGGAAGCTCCCGGTGTCCCGGTGCTCTCACAGGATGTGTGACCGTCCCACACCTCATTGTTTTCACCCGCCCCTGGTTATTTTTAGCCCGAATTTGTCAGGCCACAGCCCAGCCCCGGGATCTTTTCACACCCCCTAAAAGGGGCAAACGAGGTTCCTCGGGGACAGACTGGACTTTCAGGGATCTTTTTTTCCCTCTTTCCACTCTCTGTAATGGGGCTGCTTCCCAAACCAAGCAGGTTTTGTTTATTTTTCTGGTCCTTATCAGAACGTCCTGGTGGGTCATGTCAAACGCTTTGCACAAGTTTTAGGTGGGTTTGGGTCAAAAGTTTTAAATTCCCTCTCATTTAGGATATTAAGCTGCTCAGAGGCCTCTTCCTCGTTAAGTCACATCA